GTACTTTGTAACTCATTGAGGCCTTTGGAGTAAAGCAACTGTGCGTAAAATCCCATCAACTGCTCAGCTGTCACCCTCGGCCTCGGTAGTGCCACTCGATCCTTGGAAGTGAAGTTCACTGTGTGTTTTCACTCTGCACACCTAAATGCGCAATAATGTAAGAGTCGGGAGTGCTTGTTGTAGTGCAACAGTTCCTAACATACCGGTCTCTAATTTCGTAAGAACGCAGTTTGTGTGAAGCGTGCAGAGGAAAAGAGAGGGAGTCAAAAGGGAGACTCGATTCGTGAAAAAGGCCTGTTTCTATCCCTCATGTGTCGTCATACTAGTGTGATTTCTCCAGAACGGCGAGGCAGAAAATATGCTTAAGTTTCACCAACATTTATCCATGTAGAACGTGGAACAGTGGAGAAATTAAGTTAAAAAAGTTTGGATTGAATAGGCGTGCTAAAGGACTAACAAACAAACTGTCATGGAGTCTAGAATTTGATCTTATTTTCATGCGATGGCAATCTACCCGAGAGCGTTGTCAAATGATTTGGCACTCAGACATTCATGACGCGTCTGGTGCAAGTCATTTGAATTGTTTGATGTGCATTCGGCATTAACGTTGTCAGTAAACTGGGCCTTATTCTGTTTTAAGGGAAATCTTTTCAGCATGCCTGTGCTTTACGAAGTAGGTCCTAAAATGGGAAATATAAAGTTTATCAATCTCCGATTAAGACCCCTTATTTATGAAAAATCCTTAGAACCGAAATCGACGCGTATCGGCTCACTGTATATTGTATAGTATGCCCCTAGTACTCGGTGTAAACTAAGGATCTTCAGAATACGGTGTCCAAAATACTTAGGAGAGCTTTAAAAAATCAGATCAGCAGTGGATCATTTATAACGTCACCCCGAAGAAGTCTGTTTGGGTGTTTCTAAGACGACTGTTAGTCAACCCCTGCATTCATTAGAGGCATATTCATAACTTCAGCCATCGGTTTCCGCCAAGCACGAAATGCTGTGCCTGTGCAAACACTGCGTATGCTGCGCAATTGGCGTCAAACAAATGACCTCCATGAAACATGCACTTCCTCTTTAGATTTTGGCCCCAGTGTAAATGCTTCAGGTGAGGTGTAGTTGAAACGGAAGCACTTCTCATCGCCGCTTCAGTAAGGGCATAGAGTTGCATCGAATTTCCACATAAAGAGTTCTGGAAGAGAGGCAAGCAAAGCAGGACCAATGGAAAGGATGATGCAAATTAGACTTTGGAACACCGCTCGACGGTGCCGTGATGACATCCACTTTGTGCTCGTGCAAAGGGCGTGGTCCTGTCATGATGTCTCATAACTCCATGAACTTAACTAGTTTGCCGTGGCGGAAAGCATTCCTGACCTGCTTTCAAACGCAGTACATAGAAACCACCTTGTTGACCGGACAGTAAGCTTATTTGTATTTTCGTGCTATTCCTCTGCGTCTCCAGCACTCGGCTCATCTCACCTTTTCACGCAAAAGGGCTGTGTATGTCCATGTGTAGAGGAGGGCTTTGTGGAACACCGCCGATGATAACTCCTTGATGTTCGACCTTTAATTTCAATTGTGAAAAGACGCCGAGGGACCGGCTATCTAGGAAGAGTTCACAAACCATTGCGGTACTGCGATATACCTAATACTGGCAACCATCAGATAAGATTTCCCATGCCGGAGTGGTGGATGGAGACGCCCACACAAAAAGCGAGGTGATACAGGAAACCTAATTCACATCCGCCGATGTCATATCGCGAATGTTCACATAAGATCACACTGAGAATGAGGAATCGCAATCTGGCTGTCACTCCCGAGGACCGGGTTATCCGGCCAGCTGACAACGTCTGCAGCCACGAATGATTAGGAGACATGACAGTTCAAGTGAGGGCCAGCCTCACTCCCTCCCTCCTTCTCCTCCTCCTCCTCCTCCTCCTCCTCCTCTTCCTTCTCCTATATCGTATAGTCTGTCAAATTGGTCCGGCCGACTAAATATTTTATCGGACGCAGAGCACAGTGTTACAGGCATGCGTGCTTTTTCGCGTGTCAAATGCACGTTTAGCACCCGACTAAATCGTAATCACCAATCCCAGCCTGTTTGAGCGCCCTGGTTTCCTAACCATAACCCGCGCAAATGGTGTGAATGGGGAAGATGTACGCTGCGCAGGACCGTCTCGATTTAATTCGGTTAATGCGTCGTAAGTGAGCGGTGCCAGGCTACCTGTAAAGGTTTTTGGTGTATCGTGATCCTTATCCAAATATCAGATTGGAACGAAAGCTCGTTCAGTTTTGTCGTTTAAATTGAATATACAATTTTGATACTCAGAGACTCTTAAATATACCCGTTTTCGATTAGATAAGCCATTTACCGCTCATAGAATTTCTTCGTTTCATGAGGAATAGGACATTAAATAATTCTTTATCTGTTTCCTTTGATGTCAATCGGATTCCGACAAAATGATTTTGTAAACAGATAAGCGAATAATGGCCCGAAGAACTATCGTCCGTAAAGCAAGAAAATAATTTTCTAAACATTCCTTTAGCCAAACATAAAGATCACAGGCATCTTGAAGAAATTTCGTTGTAAGGAGCAATTTCAAATAAAATTTCGCAAATTCTGGAAGAAAATAATATAAATAAGGACGCGTTGTAATAATACTTTAATAAGTCTTACTCGGTAAATTAATTTTAAAACCGGAACGGACGTCGGTTACAAGTAGTTGCATGTTCGAAATGTCGATACAATGTAAGCGACTGTTTCTGGGAAGTTCCGTAATGATACGCAGTGGACACAATTACAGTGTTAATCCAGGTGTAACTGTCATCACTCCAATACACACATACACGACCCGACGACAGGTAAGCCGAACAGTGCATTATCGCCACTATCATTAGAAGTTGCGCGAGGAAGCTCAAGTTAACATATTACAGACGATATCTATTTTATAATTGCAGAGGTAAACGATCACAGCACAGCAAATGGACAGTTTGAAAGTGTTTCGTTGCAGAACGAAAGGAAAGAGGGAGGAACATCTGTGGTAACAGGACACCACGAATTGTTGATTTCGAACAGCTATCTTGAGTCTAAATGGGTGCATATATTCTCCTGACCCTACCTGCGGTATTTCGAATCAGTTATAAGAAAGCCCGCGGGGCCGGTCCATTTTCTATGAACTTCTGTGTTTCTGCAGCGGCCGCAGCTTACCACTACATGCCCCTGCTATCCTTTTAACAAATACTAACGGTAGTCGTCCAAAGGATGCTCAAGTAGTGTCTCATGATTTTTGGATTTTCCCGTTCAGAAAAATCACTTTATAGGCTGGCTTAATATGCATCACAACAGTCGATTACCATAGACGTGTTAGTAAATTCGAAATGCCATGAAAGACTTTAACAAATAAATTCCGATTTAGTTAGCTACGACTGCATTCGGTACATACATCGAATTGACCTCGAGAGGTACAAACTGTCCAATGTATTTGCGGCAATCCTATACCACGTAACATGAGGAGAAATAAGTGGACCATTTATTGCAACTGACGTGGGCGAGTCAGATGCACTTTTTTAGGTAGACACTCGTTCCTGCATCCGATCTTTCAGTGAACCCTGAATAGTTCGGTGTGCTATTTTCTGCAGAAAACTTTGCGACTTCCGAATTAACTTTTTCATTTGAGAAAAATTCTAGGCACAAAAAAGCGTCAAGGAGACTCATGTTTAGGAACATTACTTGGAAGATGCGCTACATTAAGTTTCGAATAGTAAAGACAATGGGAACATCTACTAAAATGTATAATAGCGGTTTGCAACAGGATAGGAATTTCGTGCAGGATGTTGCAAAAGACGGCAATCAAACCGCAAAGGCGAATAGTATACATTTCTTACAGTATTCATCTCCAATTAGATCTATTAAAGCTGGCAGTTTGATTGGCTTCCAATTTACCTTGGACTTCTGTGAGAACTTCGTCAAGACTGAAGGTAACAGACTCACGGGTAAATAATGTGGTCGGGCACAGGGTCATCTACTCTTCAGATGACACCGTTTGCGTACGGGAGCAAAGTTCATTTCATAACCACGTTTCAAATCGTAATAAATTGTTACACGAAAACAGTCCCTGGGTGAACTCTCGAGAGTACAGAGACGGTAGTCAGCGTTAATTTCGACATATTAGCCCCCAACAACTCTGCGTTGCAGTTAACTCTTCAAAGATGTGACCAACAGGGATACAACTGTGGACAATTTAGTGAAGAAGTCCTGCCTATAAAACGATTTATCGTGTACCAGACACCGAATCTCAGTTAAACGGAGATTTTCCAGTAGCAAAGTTTATTTCACATTCAATTTGAGATAAGCTATAATACCCTGTTTCGCTAAAGGGGCTTCAAAAAGTTTTGGGTTATTTTAGCAGCAACGCAAATTTCATCTGGATATTTTTCTGGGTTAGAATCCGAAATTGTATTTTCGTACTCGCTTTTTGCCAAGAAAGCGATCAATATATTTCCGTACCGCCTTGGGTCTACAAGCCACTTAGAAGAAAAAATGCCTGAGTCGGATAAATTGTTCGACATTGCTTCTTGGAAGTTTTAAAATTTCCCAACGAGTGAGCAGATGAGAAGCAGTAAGTTTAGAGTCATCCTAACGGGCCAGATTTTGTCGGGTGGCAGGGGGCCAACTCGCGGAAAATGTTGCTTCAGGACTTAGTGGACGTGCAAATTTGTAATTGTGTGAAAAACAGCAATGCTATATTAAAAAAGATGAATGTCGATGCTGACTTTATTGAAGATTGGAATGTGAGTAGTTGTTTAAATGAAAAACATATTTAATCTCTTGAAAAGTAGCGTTAGTACCCCGACGTCTGATTTGCAAAATATCGCAAGCGATAACTTCGTAGGGTGAAAAATCAATGCAGTGAACAGGAGTTCTCGTGAAGTAAGGCGTATTTCGTCAGAAAAAGTCTTTTCGCTAGGTTAAACGCTTATTCAGTTCCATGAAAGTTTTAGATTTCAATATATTTCTCCGAAAGTAGAATAGCTAAGATGCAAAGAAAACCAACAGTTAGACCAAAACACTGCACGATAAAAATTTTCAAAGTATGTTTGCCGGACTTCGCTGCCTCTGTGATGGTTTCACGCATTTCGGGCAGCTGAAATAAAATATACATGAGAGAATGGTAAGCAGTAGAAAGATTGGAGTTTTTACAGGTTTTATAGTTTAAGCAAATAAGAAGGCAATTTCCAGTGTACACGAACTTTTGGAATTTTATGCGTTTGTTGATGGATGGCTTAAGAGATCCCCTTGCTCTTGCTTACTCTAAATTTCAATTACATTTGAAAGAGGGGAGGTCATGAATCACGCTTGACGCCGGTGTTTCTTATGTCTTTTAGTCGATATTACCCTACGGCGACATATCACAGCTGTCAAACCATTCGCTGGTTGAATGCTGGATGGCGCTGCCCATCTTCCGCATTCTAAACTAATCTCTGCGAAGTCTCCTCCCTCATGCGCCGTTGCTTTCGACTTATATCTTGTCGTACATCGACATTAACATTCTGTATTGCCATTCCTGGTGTGCTATCTTGCGTGTGAAGAGACAGAAATACAGAAGCTAAGACTCGAACTGTCTCCATAATATTCGTTCCTCTTGTGCATACATTTTGACTTGAGTAATTTATTCACTTATTTTGTGTCCACATAGCCCATTTTTGCTGAAAATTTCGAATTTATAATTCAAAAATAAAGCAAATCTCTCTCTTCATTGCATCGAGGGAATTAAGGAACAAGAAATTCAAACAGTATTCCTATGAGAATTTAACTTATTGCAAGACTACACAGACCGTCAGAGGGAACATTTTGATACCAATATCGAGATAGATTATGATACATTTGTCGCCAATAAAAATGCACAAAAAGGAGAGAACTGCAAACGTCAGTTAATGATGCCAACTAAATTATATTACATGGTAATACGCAATCCGTTAAAATAAACTGAAACATATCCTATTTTTGCCGCACCTTACATACACTTTTGTATGGAATTTGAATTAACCTGCCTGGCTTTGTCACAGAAAAGATACGGCTACTTCAAATTGCGTCGCCCTCTCTCCTCCTCACCGGCCAAGTGTTTTCTGCAGTTTAAACAGATGCAGCATGCACACTGGTCAAAAGCACAAATTCCTAACGCTGTGTGAAGGCCGCATAGGGAAGCCTATGGCTATTCATTCATTTTCTTCGTAATACTCATGTTGGATTTTTACAATGAGTTCCTGTCTATGAAGTTTTCATGCCAACGACCATGTAACTACCAGGGAAATTTAAGAAATGCATGATGCCAACATCTCGCAGGGCACATCTTTCTATTGCTAGCAACAGTATGGTGGACTTATCAAATACAGTTTTGCATTTTGCCGAAAGGCACACTCTCATTGACCCTGTAACTAGTGTTATTGATCCAATGAAGGTTTCCTAAAATTAACAGGAAGGAAAAAATTTCGATGCATATGCAACCTCCTTACCATATCGGAGAGACTTATGTAAAGAAAGAAACCCGTCGTTAAGGCAAAAACAACTGTTGCACCCGACGGGACTTCACCAACGGCCAGCCCAATAATGAGCCCTACGTAGGCTGAACATGCGGACAAAAAGTTGCAAATTAAGGCCGCTTTGATGGAGAATCCAGAGGAAAGGAGGATAGCGAAGTCTCCTACACAAAAAAGGATACAGCATTAGGTTGGACTGCAAAAAATGCTTTTTGAAGCCATTTAAATACCTGTGATAAGCAATTAGGCAAAATGTAAAAAATATCGGCAGACGGGTTGACCGCCGGAGCACTTTGCATGCAACAATTCTGGGTGAGAACCTGTCTGTACACCTAGCTTTCATCAAGAATTCGCAGGGCTTAGATTTTGATAGGTAAAAGTACATTTCAAATTGGCCCCAGGACTTACCAAATTCATGAGGTAACTCTTCCAGCATTATGCTGATAGTTAAGCTTATTCCGACAGAGAGACTTCGAGTGAACCCGGCCCCAATCGTTAGCCCGTCCATCATGTTGTGGACGCCATCCCCAAAGAGGATCATCCAGGCAACTGGAGCTATCTGCGAGAGTCTTTCTCCGTTGCACTTCATTAACAACCGATTACCACACCCCCTCTTAGTCTCTGTCTCGAAATTGTCGGTTGAAGCAAGTGAGTTGCTCGCAGTCTTTGAAAACTGTTCGGTTACCTAAATAAAAAAAGGCGAAGCACCTAAATTGGTTATGTTGGCTTAAACACCAGGCATGCCTTTAAAAGTAGCAGTATTTCGCACAGTAGGAAGGTCAAATTATGCGCAAAAGACGCCTTAAATTTCTCAAGTTAACGGTGGCACAGAAATAGGTACTTAGCTTGGGGTCCCAGTTCGGAACTCCCACAAGAAGCCATATGGCGAAGAGCGGTCGATAATCAAAAAAAATTACTGCGGTAGGGTGAAAATGACAAGAAAAAACGGACTTGTTCATTATTCGTCCATTAACCAGGATACATATGGGAATACCACTCGCAACTGATGCTGACAATCCAGGACTCAATGTCCCCATGACTATACCTGAGTCGGATTCAAATCTCAAGTGTAATGGTCTGTGGCTGGGGTAGGAAGTTTGGACAGGTCGAATAAACCAGAAATAACTCTCTTATCCACTAATTTTCGGCATTACTTGCAGATTCGGACAAGACGGACTTGTCCACACTCCATCCGCCAGGCAGGATATTTGGCTGAGTGTCACTCACGTGTCATTGAGTGGTTATATTTTCCTATAGATACCGAAGTTCCGAAAGTTTGATCGTTCTCAGTGTGTATCAGAGCAATCTGCAAGATGATCTATGGAAACCTACTGAATGTGCTGGTATCCACGATAAAAACTCAAACTAGATGGCGAAAGATAATTGTCTGCATAGTACTAAGTACTGTCAAACGTTATTATACTTTTATCTTTCCTGTAAGCTTATTTACGCATACTAATCAAACCCAATTTCCTGTCAGACCACACAGGCGAAAGTCACGCCCGTCAAAAAGGTCAATCTCGCAGACCACTAGCTTATGAGAGGGTGAAGAACCGGTGGGGCTGACGCTGACTTCTCACGCCCCACGGCAAATCAGTAGTGAGCTTGAAAGTATTTTGAAACTGTGAGTTGTGACATACAATGTTACATGCTAACGGTGCAACGCGGTCCTTCCTCTGAGACGAGAACCAGACAGTAGTGTTCACCCCCTAATGCTACTCTTATGAGAATTTTTATTTCCGGAGTATTCGGGACCCATTCTCTAAGGACTGGAGCGCGGCGCGCGTAGACATGCATTTCGATGTTGTCAGAGTCGCTGTGCTGATGTCCATCTCCGTGATCTCACACAGGCGGAATGGCAGCATTCCATTTTATTATTGCAAAGTGATGGTAATTAGTTACAAAGTGCGCGTTTAGTTATTTCTGCAGGCGTAGTTTAAACGTAAAACATTGAAAAAGGAAGGAGCGTTGAGGGGAAGAAGGTGGTAAGATGATCCCTAAAAACCTGGCACTGTAGTTGGTCGTGTCTGCCATCTTCATGCTAGAAATTCGACAAATGGAAGTATAAAGCAAAACCTTCAAGCAGCCAAACATCGAAAACTCCGCCTTTGGCTATTTAATTTGAAAGAGCAGCAAGGAGTTTGTCACAGCGAAATTACATTATGTAAAACCTACAAAAATATTATCAGCGTTTATGGGGCACATTTCTACAGCATATTTATTTTAGGTGCTGCCTTCCCACAAGAAATTACCTCTCCTTGATGTTGATTAAAATGTGAAGATGTATTTATGTCAGTACATCTGAAACACATGCGCTTTTGACGCATTTAACGTATCATACGTTTACAGTGGGTTACCCAGCTCATAAAATTTTGGCGGAAATCCTAAAATGCGTCTTTGATTAGAAAAGATTGCTTAAGTAGGGTGATAATGATAATTGGCATACAGCATAATTCTAGAATATTTAGTCCCGTCAAAATGTCGGCTTTTGTATGAGCTCCCTTCTCATCGTCACCAAAAACCCCATTTGTATAAATGATTGCTCAAGTGCTTTGTAAATCTTCAACTGCTCCTCAATGGCCTCGTATATTCAAACATATATCACAGAAAACATGCACAAATATGTCTATTCTTAAACTTATGTCGTAACAACGCACGCCATCTTCAAATTTCATACTCAAGGAAAGTATAGGTTACGGTTTGAAAATGGCTTTTTAGCTCCAGTATAACTTGGAGCCCGATCTGCTACTGCAGTTGCGATTACAAGACATAAGATATATGCTTTCCATGCTAGGAGAATCCCGTATTCACCTATGCCATTAAAAGGCACTATGTAGTGCCCAAAAATATTGCAAAATTATGTAAATTTTATTTGGAATTGATAAGGACACAGAAACCACTGGGAAAAATTCATACTACTTAGACAGTCTCTTTTACGGCATTTTGTTTTTGCAGACGGCCGGAAAGAGTTAAATTCAAAAACTGACACCTTGGTGTAACTGAAATATTTTTTAAGCGTGCTGTATGGCAAGCAATATTTCCCTCAACGCGAGTGATCCAGGCTAATTGAAAGCACACTTCGAAAGTCCAGTCAACGATACGTGGGATAGGTAATTCAAAACAATTTCTTCCTTGTTTTCTTGATCGCGCAATCACGAATACGCGTGTCGCAGGTACTGAGTAAGACATTTTTCGTTGTCCGAAATTAGAACGAGATACAGAAGCTGAGAAGGCTCTCTACGACTCGCCGGTGAGATGAATCCCTCAGGTGGGAGTCGTCATTTAGTATGGGAGTAAGAGCAAGCATCGCTCTGACGGTCAAACTCTTGCATTTTCTTATTCCTGAAGACTTTTTCCAGATCAAATTCCGTTTCTTATAAAGGTTTGACATGGAAATATATTCTTCGCAAATTTTAAAAAACAGCCTTGAACTCAAAACATTGTCCACGAAAATCGGATTTCGATCAGAAAAGCATTTAAGGGGCAGCACACGAGACCATATCCTTTGGGTCAGAGAAATTGTCATCTTGTTATTAGCCGTTCTTTTTGAACTTTCTGGGCGGATGCCTGTGCGGCATGGGGCCATCGAAGGATCTAAAATTTTGTACGAACTCGCGCAGACGCTTAAGATACAGAGACTTTAAAACAATTATCTAGGATTTCTGTAATGCGATAAAGTGCCTTGGTTTATGAACTTGGTGCAATGAAAAAGGATGGTGTCCACGTAATAGAGACAAATGCATTTTAAATAGAATGATTTTTACCAATAGAAGCGAAGAGACGAGTCCTAGGAAGTAGTCTTGAAGAAGGAGACACGATCGCCGGGACAAGAGCTTTATTAGCCTGACGTTTCAGGAAAGCGACAAATAGGATGCAAGTACTGAACTTCAACAGTAACCACCTAATCAGCCACAAACGCAGTTGTGTAAGGACGCTCTATCGACGTGTCGAAACGCACTGCAGTGAGCCGGAAGACAAAATTGCCGAACTACAAGACCTCTGACGGGTTTTCAAAGCCAATGGCTACCCGCGCAACTTCGTCGACCGGTGCATACGCAAAAGGGACGAAAGGACTAACCGCACGGACACCAAATCTTGGCAGGCACTTCCGTATGTCAAGAACGTTTCGGAAGCTGTCGGCCGCCTTCTCGCACCACTTAGGGTTGAAGTGGCACACAGACCGCAGGCAACCATCAGGCGTCTGGTCAGGAAACCGAAAGACCCACTGCCACGGCTAGAAACGTCTGGAGTCGTTTATCGGATCTGGTGCAGTTGCGGACAAAGCAACTACGTCGGAGAAACCGGAAGACAGCTCCAAACGAGAATGGCCGAACACGCGGCAGCGGTGCGCAAAAATGACGCCAGCTCTCAAGTTGCGGCTCATTCGACGAGATCCGGCCACACATTCAAATTCGATGAGACCGAATTCTTGCAAGAGGTGACAACCGCGTGAGCCGGGAGCTACTGGAATCATGGTTTACTGGCCCCCAGTCCATCAACAAGTGCAACGATCTTCCGACTCCATACTCCGTACTAAAACTTCGCCTAGGCGGAGTAACAAGCCATGCGGGGAGCGCAGATGTGAACACTTTACCCAACACCGGGGTCGGTGCGTCAGATGGTCGAGCAATCATCAAGCCAACATCCAACGCACGTGGTGAAATTGCAGCATTTATCGACTCGAATGTCGGCCGTCAAGCAATGATCACACCATGTGTGACGATCCCGGATGAAGGGCGGAGCCGTGAATGTTCATAGGTATGCGGTAGCATGACTACTGCATCCTATAAATACCGCGGCCCCTTGTGCAACAACCGCCCGTTTTTGCTTTGTTGTCTCTGATGATGGGTTCGAGTGGGAATCCGAAACGTCAGGCTAATAAAGCTCTTGTCCCGGAGATCGTGTCTCCTTCTTCAAGAATGATTTTTATTTTTAACATTTAAGCAATTAGAAAGGAAGACGGGTTGCACTATTGGTATGCGAGCTTAGTAAAAAATCGACAAACCTCAGGTTGGAAATCGGAGTCCTGAACGACAATTTCACCCGTAGTGGACAATGTCCTGTCATCAGAATTTTCAGATGCTTGAGTGGTCTGAAAGTGGAAAGCGCATAACGATAGCTGTAACAGTTCGGTATAAGGGTTTCAGCATTATTTAAAATTGGATGATGCAAAGATCCCGATATAAGCAGTTGCTTGTTACATCATCGATATCTACCATGACGTTACTTCCAGTTTGTTAAAGCTTCTCAATATGCTTGTATATTCGAAACAGAAAAATTAGGCGCAATGCTTGAGCACGACCATGAAATTCGCATAGTCTCAGCCAGATATGTGCACGGTTGTTTAAGTGGCAGTTGGTTGTAAGGGACAACACGTACGGGTGTCTTAGGTCGTATCACGCAAGTGGTGATTGCTCTGCACGCCCGATAGCTCGAACGCAATTCTCATTAGTGGCTCCCCGAAGCTACGCCACCAACAATGTGGACTCGATCCTCACCTGTCCGCATTGCGATCGTACATTCACCTCACTCATGGGCCTGATGGGTCATTTGAGGATTCATCGCACAGAGACTGGCGAACCGGTGTCTGGAGCACCAACGTACATCCGTCCTCATAGCTACAACTCTCCGAAGTGTCCTCGCATGGGCTTATTTGGTTCACGTGCGGCTCCATGCAAACCTTCCATAGTCCATCGCAAACTAAACCACATCACCATACATTTCCCATTAGTAAATGTACACCACGCACACACAGTAGTACACACATACGCACTAGCATCAGCGCGAACACGTGCACACGCAGTGGGACTGGCAACAGCGCAGCCCGACACACACAAACACACGCCGAAGGGCTACCACCACCAGTTTACCGTCCCGCATCCTTCCATGACTGCGTGAGCAGCATATGTACACCTGAACACGTCCCACCTGAAACACCGCTGGCACAAACTAGTAATCTGCGGAATGTGAGACCCGAGCAGCTCGTCTTTTGTGTGAAATCGTGATGTGCGATTATGGACGGACAGGTCATAGGCGTGGCACGCGCCGCCTCTCCCAATCTCAGCATCGGTTAGTTGACTGGTCTAGACAGCCGACTGATGAACCAGATAAGGTAGAGTGACTGAGGTCGACTGTCAGCGCAAAATCCCTTAATATAAATAATTTAACACACTTGAGATTATCATGGTGCGGCAAAAACCGAAGCTTGGAAAGTAGTCAACTGTGTGCTTGCTTGGAGTGGCTGACTGGCGGACTGAGATTCAGACTGCGATGACTCTTCCTTAATACGGCGTTTATAGCACTCCCAGTCAATTTGTAATTCAGGGGGCTCACTCTTTCTCGTTGTGTGAACTCCTGATCCTCCGTGCGTAGGCCGGGGGTTTGGTGGCAGGTCAAGGTGGGGGTTCATGTCGCTCTATCCACACGCACCCCATCCAACCTCTAGTCTTTTCAACACTGTCTTGACATCGGATCCAAATGGTAGGGGGAGGAGAGAGCGCGAAAAATGCTGCGAAAGCCTGCTATTACCATGATCAACTGGACGCGCAAGTCACCACCCCTGCTGCCAGCATTCTCTGGGGAACGCCGTGGACATCATCGGAATCGACGGTCAAACTGTCAAGTGGCAGTGAACTAGGGCACTCAGTTCAGCTGACCAGTCTTTACGATTTGGTTTCAAATCAATGCGAAATCACAGTTTAGGAACGCTTTTAATTTTGAGTTGTACACACACAGTAAAGAAGTTAAGGCGGCAAGACAATAAAAAACGAGCTGTCTTGAGACTTCCCGGGTACCAAGAACGTATAAATTTATGCCAAATTTGTAAAAGTGAAAAAAAACAGCAAATGTGCTCTCTCTGCATGTCTTGCAGCAACCGATTTAGAAAAGTTATTCATTTTTGTCCAATTTCCGTCTATTTAACCAAGGATTACAAAGACACAAATATCCTGCGGATGAATTTCAGTAAGCAGCGGATTTCGTTCTTTTATACGAAAACAGTCAATGTCTACCGGAAGGCAGAAACATTGCCAAACCTTCAGATACCAATGTTAGTGTCACGAGCTGAAACACCATTACCTACTCCTGTCGACTTGTGTGCGGTAATTATCTGAACTGTTCTACAACAGTGTCCCTATCTGACACCACGCAACTAACGGTAGTTCGTTCTGACTGGTATGGCTAATTATGCAGATGTGGGAGGTTTTACGGAATGTACTTATACACGTCATTCACGCTGTACGTTCTACTTAAGTAGATGCATTCATGACGCAAACCCATTGGGCGGGACGAAAACCCTGTTCAAACCTCAAACGTACAGTCTGGATTTGGGGTATCATTGGCTGAGGACGACTATTTCGGCGTCCGTGAATCTGTGGACAAGGTTTCCCGATCGCTGATGGTTAGTCTATATGTGGCCTCCTGGTTTGATTGGATTCTCTAGGATCCAAGGCAAAAGGGACATACCAACTTTTTCCGACATTCACAATAGGTAAGTGCAAACAGTCCTTATATGACAAGGTGGACTTTATGCAAATAAAGCACACCTTATTTTAGGTACACGAAATGACAGTACATTCAAAGTCACTATCTGACGTAAGGTCCGATGCAAAGTCCGTTATACTAGAGTTTACGAAGACAGACAATTTTTATTTTTTTATATTTCCGTGTACTACCCAGGCTTAAGTTTTCAGTAGGTGTGCAGTACGCACAGAAATAATGGGAACTCGTCCCTGCGTCAGCGGGGCTGGGACGAAGTACACAGGGGTATCATAGAAAGTCGACGTTTTTTTGTGATTGTCCTGCTTATCCTTCTCTCCACTGAGAGTGTACACAAACATGTTTCTTTAGGACAAATGTAGTGACCAGTAAAGGCAAAAAACCATTGTGCGCAAAATGGCGGGAGGTTCGCTCGGGAGTAGTGTTATGATTTACGGAGCCATTCGAATCCCTCAGAAATCAGAAAGAGTGATTGCGCTCAAATAACTAGTCTCCCTTTATGTGAAGAGGCAGAACGTTCGATGAATATCTGACAGACCTGGACAAGCAACGTCTCAGAAGTCTAGAACCAATCAGTAGAACGAATGTGAGTTCACGTCTGCCAAAGTTAAGGAAATTCTAGTCCGGGACTCCAGTTAATATTCTCTGATGCTAGTTCTCTAATCGATTATCACAAGGTAACAAACCACATGTTCCCATCGAAACCTAACCGGGACATATAGTATTTGGCAGGTTTTAAAATACGCAATCGTTGACCCGACACCAGTGAATGAATAAAAGCTCAAAAACCTCCATATTGAAACAATTTGATTTCACATATGTCTGCAATGCCTGCATGATTTGACCCAAATAGTCGAAAACTCAAAAGATAAATCCTTGTGAAGAAATAATTCCTGAAAACATACAAAAGGCACGAAGTAACAAAGTTTTCTTTCTCAAAAAGGACAATGAATTCGGTGAAAAATCGAAAGTAGACCGAAAAATGCACTGACCTAATAGTTTTTTTCCCAACGACAATTGCAAAAGGTTTCGGCCAAAAGACAGTGAGTAGGCAGGCATGGATCAACTTTGGATTATTTCTGATTCTGACAAGCTTTTTGACCCTCATCAAGTGTTCTTCATTATGTGGGCGCATATTTAAAGCACAGCTAAGCATTCTCGCACATATCAGTTGACACTTACTACTTTCCGACTTTCACCCCCCCCGCCACTTCAGACTTCCTCAGCCTGTTCAGTTATTCTGTTCCTACCCGTAATCAACGAAAAATATATATGGGCTCTATAATATCGCAGATTTATTGCCGTAGAGACGCATTCCTAATGCATGACGGATCATGCTTCAGTTATCCGTCGCCAGATCGCCTTCGCGCAAAATTGCATTTTGCATAAGGGTGGCCTAATGTTAGATGTCAGCATCTTCCCTCACATTGTTGGCCAACTCTAAGCCCTTACTACAAATAATTTTGTTGTTCCGAAGCAAATATAGTCCGTTGTTGTTGTTGTTTTTATGTAATCCTTAAGCGACTACAGATTTTCAAGAATACAAAGTATTAGACTGGTTTCGCCAAGTCAGTTGGTACATATAACATGACCAGACGCCGTCCCCCCTGCGTTTTCAGCTATCCGCGTTTTGACGTACCTTACAAACTCTTCAAAGAGCCAGACAGGGTCTGCCATCCAATTCGATCTCAACAGTAGGCGTCAAGTACTTGACCTTGTGTGATCCCGACTCCAAGTGGGCTGAATGGGCAGCTAATGACGTCAATAATTTCGGAGCGTACAGGACTGCTTACCAAAAGAGTGCATCAGCCGCCTCCAAAAGGGCACTCGGATTAGGGATCACAGACACACCAGTCCCAAGTGTCAACAAATACGGAAACGACCAATTTTCGTATCTTAACTTCCCAACATGAAATCGATCAATAAACACAACGTTGTTCATTTCTTTTGCAGCCTCGGTCATTTCTGACGTTTATGCGTCCTAAGACACCAGAGGTTACCTATTGTCGTGCCCGAACCCAGCTTTAACTCCTCTAGGATTTAACGCAAGACCCTTTGTAATACAAGGAGGGTTTGTCATTCCCATGTCTTTACAACGGGTCTCCTCATTTGAGCATACTTACTTGCGAATTTTGAAAACGACTTGAACACGATAAGTCAGGAAAGTGAGATAAGGAACTATAAGTAACTAAATCAGGCGCACCCATCAATAAAATTCACTCTGGAAGAAGAACAGTCCGGTTCATTTCCCCTTCTGGATGTGCCTCCAAGTAGAAGGTCTGACGGCAGCATTCGACGCAGCGTCTATCGTAAGAAAACGTGGTCCAGACAATACACCCATTTTGGAGTTTTGTTCCGCTAAACGTCAAATGTAATTTAGTCCGCTGTTTGACAGAAAGACTGAGAAGAATCTGCTCAGCTGATAGCGTTGAGAAAGAGCTTAAGATCATCGAAAGCCTTTTAGCCAGAACGGGTATCCTGATCGATTCATTGCTAAGAACATGGCCGAAAGACAACAAAAGCCCCCGATACGGACGGCAGGAAAGAAAAGGCTCTTCATCAGGGTCACATTGCAAGGGAATGCATCAAGTGAAATTTTTCGAAGACGCCTAATTCAAGCTGTATCACACACCTTTCCAGCAGTTGACTCCCGTGTACTGTTCTGCATCAGTCCCATCCTATACGGAGAGAGCAAGGACAAACTACCAGCTCAGACCAGCACTATGTGTATTTACTCCTTCACCTGCTCCTGTGAGACAGAAGATATTGGTCGTGCGAGCCGACGTTTGTCCAAAAGAATAAAAGGACATCTTCCGGCATGGGTCAAATAAAGAACATCAACAGCTCGATCCTCGCCTACATGGTAGACACAGACCACCGTGTAGACGCCAGAGAGGCATTCAGAGTGATTTACATGGTCCTGTCAAGCCATCCAAAGCTACATGGACAGCGCTCGTGGACTACGACAGAGGCGGCAGTAATCAGGCTACGCGGACCGGTCCTATGCGCACAGAAGAACTTCATACAGGTCCCACAGTTGCCATGGCTCAAAGCCACCAAGCCAGCCACCCGCATGTAACTACCTTTGCTGGGACCCACCTTCTCCCTGGCGCTGATTGGAATTGTGGTGTTTCACTCTCCTCCTTCCCTCCCCTACCCAAACTCGAGCTACAGTTGAATTGTCTACTTGCCCGTATCTTTTAATTCATTGCTTCAATAGCCAGATAAAGGTACAGGCCTGAAGAGAATTTATCGAAAGCAGACGCATGCTCGCCAAATTGCCCTTTGAGCTATAATATATGTCAAACTGCGCTTGTTTTCTAGACGGTCCAGTGTACTGTGTCGGTACAGAAGGACACAGGAAAACAGTCTCTGCAAATTTGTCTAGCGGTGCGGGTTGCTGGTCAAAGAAATGTCCTCTAGTCCGTCTCACCCAAAATTATAGCCATTTATTTGGCGCAAAATGCGACAGAATAGTTAGCTTTTCGGAAGCTCGTGATAATACGTCTGCTCTTTAACGGAAACACAATTAGAACCCCGATCAAACGACGATTAAGATTCAGAGTTGAAAGGACAGCACAGCCTAATTCATATTTATTGGCCCCGCGAAAATCATTCTAATTAATGGGAACGATGGTACCTCGCTTGTACACGTCGTCTAAACCTGTTTTTTTTCAGTTGTTTGTGCATATAAATGCGAGTCTTTTCAATGAAGGCAAAGGTGATTGGCATATAGGTCAGTAGATTACCTGCCCAAACCATTTCTTAAGTCAGGACACAGAATCTCATACTGTTCTATCGTTAAGCAGATGCTCTGTCGGCCCGAAGTGAACCTTCCCAGTCGTGGGTTGTGCACGCACAACTCCAACACTGCGCTACATGAAGTGCAACACACTTACAGCGCAAGAAATCCCACCTGTGCGTTCAACTACGCCATGTGGTAGACCTATTTGAAAAGCAGTCGCGTAATTGGTTTAGGTCAGCAAGTCCTGTTGCAAATGCAAGATTTATAGACGTGCTGGAAGGAAAAGCGTTAGATAGCTTCCGGTCGTTTACTGAAAAGCGGGAAAGAAAAACCAACAAAATTCGAGAAATTCGTGGTATTTGTACTTTCAGCACAATTATAACCACGGATGCGTATATTATTGGCTCTTTTTTATCCCTGATAAAGCCCAACACAAATCTTACCTAACAGGGCATTTCATGTAGAAGTACATTTCATAAAGGTGGTGTGTGCAGGGTGACATTTTTTAAACCGTCCTCTGGGCTACGGGGATAAGTCGCATCATAATGCGTTGTTTAGATTTAAGAGATCAACGGCCAACATGAAGCCCACTTTTGTCGAATTTTGAAACATTTTTGCGGTAAAATGACTGTCAAGCTAACTAACCACGAAACAGGAAAGTCCTAAATTTCCCCATAAACTCAAATTTCACAGCAACATGGACTTTTATCTCCGTTAAAATAGACTTGCCTGGCAGAACTTGGGACACCGCATTATGATATATTCAAGGACGTAAAAGAATGCGCCACCAGCCAGAACTGTCATCAGCTTCAGCGTGAGGGGATGAAGTGCTGAGGATTCTTCTTCATGCAAATGCAAATCGAGGGCCTAAACAAAAGGATAGAAAACTGTTAGAATACATACTTAGTCCCCGCTTGCAAGCGACATGCCTTCTAAATTATTTAATCAACGACATCCAAATAAGCTGAACCCTTTCCCCTCACAGTCTGCAGCGAAACGAATATATGGAGGCGCCTCCAGAGGGTTTGATTTATTAAATACTTCTCGAGAATTTATTTGTTCATAGGTATTTTGGCTGATTTTGAATAATTCATATTGACCCAACTGTGAAAAACTCGGCGCTTCGGTGGGATTCTAACCCACTCAGTAAGAATGAGGCTTTAGGACAGCCAACGGTCTAACCACTTGGGCTACGAGGCCCCGCCGGACGACTCGAGTTTAATCACATTTTCATCACTTTGAGTTTTTTACAGTTGGGCCAATATGAATTATTCAAAATCTGCCAAAATACCTATGAATTACGTGAGCCTGGTATTCATCTGGTGGATTCTAGGTGAATTACTTAGGAAATCCTGCTTGGGCAGTCAACTTACTGTATCAGATTTGGTGGATTCCAGACATTGCAGTAGGTTTGGCGGGTAAATTTGACCCAAATATGATTAAAATCGAGTCGTCCGATGGGGTCTAGTAGCTCAGGTGGTTAGAGCGTTGGCTGTACTAAAGCCTTCTCCTTACTGCGTGGGTTCAAATCCCACCTAGGCGCTGAGTTTTTCACAGTTGGGTCAGTATGAATTTATTTGTTGTAGCAACCTAAACTGTCTGCTTAAGGGCATCCAACAATGTTTTCAGACTGGTAGTTTGCCTCTGAAAACACTGTATCTCATGATATATTTTAGTTCTCTCAGAATTACCACCACCACCACCACCTTTTGGTCTAAATCAAAATTTCCATGTCTGTCATTATAATCGTCCCCGCCTCTCAAATTACCGCGATGGCAGTAGTTAGTGTCACTATACTCTCACATTACTGTGGAACAGACGGTGGACATCGTCGGCAATGACGGTCGAACTGTCAGGATAGGCAACCAGGAGTGAGCGAATATTGCATTACTGAAATTACTTATTGAGCTCTCTCGAACTGCTCTAAATAAAATAAACTCGTGCATTAACTTTGCATACAAATACCGATTTGTGAAACAAGACTATGATTATGTGTTTGACAGGAACACTATGGATAAGCTGGGGAGAAGAAGTTAGTTTATACATAAAGGGACAGCCCCCTACGTTAGTATATGCCAGCCCCAGGACACGAACTCAGGATGAATTCCCGCTCTAGCCCCTAACCCCTAACAGGCACAGCTACGATATAAGATCTTGCGAGCTCATAAATTGAGGGAGCCAATTAATAACCTAGTTGATTCTAGATTGATTGCCAAGGAAATCCTGCTTGGACAGTCAGCTGACTGTATAAGAATTAGTCGATTCCATACGTCGTAGGTTGGGTGGGTAACTTGACCCAAATATGACAAAACTAACGGCTCCCGGAAGGGTCTCGTAGCTCAGGTGACTAGGGCGCTGGCCGTACCTAAACCTTGTGACTGCTGCCATGGGTTCGAGTCCCACCGAGGTCGGAGTGTTTGTCCCAACTGGGACAAATGTAACCTCGAAAAAGCAATTCGCTCTTCTAAAAAAATGAATAGGATTGTAAGTACTACAATTTACTTTAAGCATCCATGATAGCAAAATTGTGTAGCTATCATTTTTTAATACAGTGAATAATTTTGAACCGAAAAACACGCCTTTATATAGGCTGCTCTCCAACAAACTTGCTCATAAGGTTTATTTTGTGGATCTGAGACTTAAGACGACGCAGAATATGCTACTGCCGTGTGTTTTAGTCCGAAATAAGCTATCGGGTTGAGATGCGAAGACTTGCATTGGGACGTGTGTGTACTACTGCATATGAATGAGTTTGCGGAACAGCGTTCTTTTCTTCACGGATCTTTCAATCCCTAATTTATTCGCAGGAGCTTCAAAGTAATATGCGAAAAACCTGACTTCGGAAGTAAAGCTGAACAGAAAAGGAAGAAGATTAGGCAGGGTAGTTCCGTTTTTGTTGGAGGTACGTTCTAGTGTCTGACCATGGCCAGAATATGCGTAATTCATGACTAAGTTCTGCTTTACAGACGGCTATAACATTTCACTTAAGGGCCTATCCTCACTAAGCTAGCCCTGACCCCGCTGATAGGACTCAAAGGCGTTCCATCAACCGGCATTGCTTCCTACGCCAGTAACTCAAAAAGACGATTAACTATGCCTACTCACAGCAAAGTAAAGCGCGTTAAAGTTGCAAAATGTCTACCAAAAGTTCGGTGCGAGCAAACGAAATCGAGCTCATGTTTTAATATTCAGTGGACATTGTCAGAGTCTTTTCTTGAGTGCCTACCTCTGGGAGTAGAACGAGTAGAGCAGTAGAACAGAGGGCTGCCACGGCAAGTCCAATCATCATTGTAAGCACCATGGGGTAACAGCTTCTTTTCTGTACCGGTATACAGATGGCACCAAAAAGGGAACACATGTTGGTAATGGTGACGCCCAGGAACCCAGCCAGAATAGCTGAATTGAGACGCAAAGTATCATTTCAATGGACGTAATTTGTATCAAAATGCACATACGGTTAGCAAACAAAAATATTTTTTACTACGCTCACCCACCTTTTGCGGTTTCTGTCCTAACAAATGCTCAAAACCGTACTCATTTCATGCATTTATAAGTTGAGCTCCCGTTTCTGTCCAGGGAGCTGGTTAAGACTGCTGTATTAATTAAAGACGACTTAGGTCGTCCCGCTGATTCGTGTTTCAAGACATTTTACAGTGCCATGGCACTGAAAATGAGGGGCTAATTGATTAAATTTAAGACGGTTTGACTCCAGTTCAGTTGCCCAAATACAATTATTTGGGGCTTCAGAGATTTTAAAGATGCACGAAAGAAACAATAAAAGACGGTCCTCTTCAGGTAATTTTGTCTAACAGCAATCAAAGGATGCGGAAGTTAAATAAAATGTGAAGGCCAAATACGCCAGGGAGTTCGTGTACTCATTTCCTTGGTATGACATAAGAAGTGCTTAGCGTTCTAAGGTGTCTATATATACCAGATATTTTCGACACCAAATGCATGATTTGCTAGTGCAACTTATCCAGGCACCACGATTTCGAAATTTGATAAAAGAGAGGCTACACATACGAAGCTGAATATGTAGAGATTTTGATTTGTGTAATACCAAAACACGAGGTAAAAACAGTTAATAGAGGTTCGTTAACAAGACCCCAAATATACCTACTTAGGATTTAATAATTATGATCAGCCCATACCAACGGCCCAAAACCAGGTCTTTTTCCTTAGCACTCCCAAAATTTAAGCAGTTCCTGAGAATTATGACAATGACGGATTCCTAAATAAGTTAAAAATAATAGTAGCGAATAAAGGTTCACATATTTTGGTGGAAAACGACCACAGTTTTATTTCACATAACCTATGTACATAATAAATTAATTCGCCCCAACCTTTCTTCAAAAACAGTAACCTCGCCTAGGCACATACTTCTAAGCCTGAGCTTGGGAAATTGTGTCGTTTTCGTTGAGGTCGCTCCGGGAGGATATCTTCCTCTTACATCCAACTCCCAATCTAGGAGCGACAGCAGTGTTACTCGTTGAGGAAATTCTCTGGCATTAGCCTGCGCGCTCACGTTATATCGCCGCAATCGCGAGGATTCAAAGACAAACGAGAAGGCTTTGCCATACTCATCTTGACTGTGGATCAAAAACGGTCCTTTCAATTTATTTAGAGACCACATGGCCTCGTTATGAAACGTTTGTTAAGTTGCCAACCGAAGGCTTATTCGAACTTTACGCACTCCAAGTCCGGGGTTGAAATATGCAACTCCGGCAAAGACAGCTTGTTCAGAAGCGTCCACTTCAAACTCTCTTGTCTTCAGCAGCACCTTTCCACGCTTCTCTCTGTTGGGGATGCATTCATCACCAAATATGTCGGTTTGATATCAAATAGGTGAAATAACCAGGAGACACGCAAGAATGATGGAAATCTGCTCCCGGTCCAGCGTTTCTGGCTCTGCTACCTTGATAAGTACTTGTGGCGTAAGTCTTCGACAGATACTTTGTCGCAATACCTGTACCGGCGACAATATGCTGGCCGGCCGCACTGCTTAAAACTTTTAGGAAGTTTGCATTTATACGCAATTTCTGTTGGTCCGAGTTGTAGAATCCATACACGACATTTGACGTTACCGAACGGCAGTAACCTCAAGTCGTTTACATGCTTACTGTTCCCCTTCGCTTGTATTCATGACAGTTACCCTCTGCTTGTCTGCCAATGTCTTCCGTTAGTTAAAACATTCTCTTTCCTAGATGGTTTTTCGAAGGGAAGCCGTATTTCCGTTTGGTTTATCGATTTACTCACATCTCCAAATTGTAATGTCCCACGACGCCCCACATGAAACTACGTTCTATAAAATGTTTTTTTGCAAAATTACAGATAAACCCTAGGAACGCACGAAAGGCCGCTAACTGCGGTTCAAAGTATCTGGTCTCGCATCCTGTGTTGATTAGCAAGAGACAAAAAAGATTTGATCTACGTGGGATTTCAAGGTCTCTAAAACTGTTTTTTGACTTCTACCTGAGTAAACGGTCTGTCTGGAGGCAATCCAATCTACATAATTATGGTATGGATGATGCTGAATGGAAGCAAGCCATATTCACTATGGATGACCAAAACCGCAATGTTCCTGCCTTCCAACAAGGCGGTAGCGGGCTGTTGATTAGTTTTTTGAATTTCTACTCATCTACCCATTTCCCATGTTTACATTTTTTTCACATTTGCAAAATGAGCATTCTTACATTTTCAGAAAACGTGAGGGCCTAGAATAATTCTGAAGGAAGAGGATGCTGCAGTAGATCGGCTAGCTGACATTTTTCGGGGAGTTTTCGCCTCGTGGTATCCGGCACTTTCCGTGAGTAATCGATAAAAACATATAGACAAGGCTCCATACAAACAAGTGAAGGAAAATGAAAAATTACAAAGGATGAGTGCAAATTATATTTGTTAAATTACCTTGACCAAGACTCGGACGTTTATTGTGTTTCTCTTCTTCCCGATACGAAATTTTAAGTAGCAGATTTTGTTTTGCACTGCCGGGGCCAAAACTCAGCAAGGCCGTCACATTTGAAATATTTTCGTGGTTCCCCTTCAAGTAAGGACATAAGAGCTTGCTGCACTTATGAAAAAAACTCAGTGTGGGACAATACAAATTCCCTGTGCGACTGAGAACAATTCAAATCGACATATCCGGTAACCGGCGACTTTAAATTAAAGGCGAGGTTTTTATTGGCGTGCCGCTCGTAAAGTGTATACAATCTAGATTCCTCACTCGGAGATAGAAGGTAATATTTGTGTTCATTATCTTGTCGATTTGCCCATGGATTTTTTGCTGACCTTGAAATTTATTTGAGCATCTTATAATACCCTTTAAACGGACTTCCGGAGCAGAATTTATTGGAATTAACAAGTTTGGCGACGGCTTAGCAACCGCGACCTGATGCTGCATAACACAGATAACGAATCAGGAAGATACAGCGATTTGAATTTCTACAGAAAAAATCAACGCATGTCAGCTGTTTTGAGAACACGTTCGGCATCAAGTGTGGCGCCAAGTAACATAAAGTACTGTTATTTAGTACCAGTCTTTTATAATACTAACGACAAACGTGAAATTCGACACAGGCCCGTCACAATTTCAGGGCAGGGAAGGTTTATAAACGTCAAAAGACGATTACGCCTGCAGAATGCGACAAATTTAAAACGCTCCGATAATCTCAGTAGCGATGTTGGACGACAGACGTGGAAACATTTCAAACGGAAGTCCATTTAATTCCAAGGAAAGGATGACGTACCTAGAACAAAGATATTTGGCAAAATATACGTACTAATCATTTGGCTCGTCAAAATAGTTAATGCTCCTCAAGGATCAACCGCGCGCAGTCCAAAACCGGACGCAATTCGTCAGTATACTAATCAACTCAGTGAGGGAGAATTTCACAGAATTTCTTTAATCTCGCTTCAGGAAAAATCACCGTTTATTTTGTTGAACTTGAAACAAGTAGAGTATTGGACACTGCACAAGTGTGCGCTCAACTCTAATATTTTTCTTCCAATGAGGCTTTGGCTTTCGTCGCGGTAATCCGCTCAGACGTGCCAAAGTCCATTATTAAGTTGCCCATAATCAAGGCAATTTTTACGCCCTGTTGTATCCCACCGCTCCTGAGTAAGATTATAAAAAGGTATCTCCGACTCAGAATGGAGTGTTTTGTGCAAATCATAGGTACAACATCTGTCACATGCGCAAAATGGCGCACTGTGTTACGATTACTTCAATTACGTGTGGTTGAACAAGAGAACAATTTGCATATCTTTACAGCTGGCATCCGGATGTGGTGGCCGGAACTTTTGTGAACATATTTTTGGCTCCTAGAAATAATTAGATACACCCGGAGAAATGGTTCAATTTCGACTATTCCGTGTACTTATACAGAAAAAGATTTTATTCAAATCACAACGACAGCTGAAGTGTTTCCCTGTCTCGATGGTAAAGAAGATACTTTCGTTATTTTGCGCTAAAGTACAAAGTCCTGGGAGATTAACTCAAAAAACCATAAGAAAACGATTCAATCCTATAGGTCCACCGGTTAAATGAGAGGAATGATGTCCTAAATCGTCTAAACGAGCAGGAACTAGGTTTGATTCTTCAGCATAGATCAGCGCTAGCAAACTCACCGATGGAAACTAAAGCTGTTCATCGCATTGCGACAGAAATTCTATGGTCTGTAGCATGACACGCCTAACAGAAAGTAAGCAGACTAACCCATTAGAAATTTGACCGCATAAACTCAAAACAAAAGTTTAGAAGGCTATTTGATTCGGATTAATAGGCTTCTTATCCCGGCGCATTTTCCCGTTGGTGGATAAAGGCAGTTACATCGTTTGCTGATCAGCCTGAGCTGCAGATAATAAATTAAGTGCTCATTTCTTGCGTTTAAACTCCCAGAAATTGCCAGATGAGTCAGTTTGGCGGGTAAATTGTGTTCGCCTATCAGTCACAGCCGTTTGTCAATAATAGAACACAATGTGAAATTTGCATAAACCACCTTAAAGCATCCTTAACTGTCAGCTAAACAACCAAACTGTGACATCACCAGTTTTATTTAACAGGCTTCTATGAAAACTGTGACAGAGTTCAATGCCCCATGTATGCTTAAGCGGTTTACTCAATATCGTTGTTTTTTCCCGCTAATTAGTACACGCTATACGTGTTCTATAATTCAGAGTGAGGTTGTCACCCCGCAATGCCAGACACCTCTTTATGCAGTTTCAACTCAGAGGACTGTGGAAGTCATTTTTCCTTGCAATTTTAATCTTAATAGTTCTGTTGTGTCCCGTCATTATTTGTATGTTTGCATTATGCCCTTGGAGTCCATGAAATGAGAATTTCATCCAGTGATGCCTGAGGTGAAATTTCACTTCCTCTGTATGAAGCTCTAATTTATGTGTTTTCTGTTGTGTGATATGAAAATTTTTTAAGTCAGCGAGAAGTTTTGATGCTATCTGCAGAGCTGCATTACTACGAGTTGGTCCAATATATCTTCTTTCGTTGGGATAGATTACTAAAATGGATCAGTCAGTCTTTTTTTCGAAGTTTGCTTATCTATCCTTTTCGGGCTATGATACAAGGAAACAGTTCATAGTAGCCTGCACCATTATTTCACCGCGAAATAACAATCCATTCCGGACCACCAAGCCGGAAACGCTTATATCAACACGCTGCAGAACTTCATAATTTTCTGGCACAAATGAGAACATAAGCTGTAGGCCATCCCAGGTGGTTACTTGAGGGGGGTGGTCGAAGAGTGTCGGTGACATGACAACACGGTATGTATGCGGCGGATAGAGAAGGTGAATAACTGTATTATGTGCTGTCCTCGGTTGAGCCCCTCCAAGTAAACCCGATCAGCAGCGCGTCAGCCTGGAAGGTTTTTCACCATGAAAAATGTCTGGATGTTTCTACGCTGGCCGTACTGGCAATGCTCGTTCAACAAAAAATGCTTTAATCAGAGTTCATTATAAAATGGCTGCATAGCTGAGACAACATCATTTATGATCGGGTACAAGAGAGGGTACGCCGACAAGGAAAAGGGAACCGGGATAACCGTCTATGGATTATTGACCGTCATCAGTTAGCAGCAGGCAATCCGGCACCCTAGGATTGGGTTCCGAGTTCGTTGTTCTGTTGCTTTTTTTTCGGAAAGATTAATGCCGGTGAAATGATATTCACCGATCCTGTAGACAGGCATACTGTGCATATATCCCACGGCTGACCTTAAACGCGTGCGTCTGCAGTCTTGCATGAAATTTTCGGTTTTTTTTAATGTTAACGTGACCGAAACGGAATTAAAACTTTTGAGCTTTACTAAACCCGAAATTACTGGGTGAGTGATTAATGCAAATACCAACATGTCTGTCCGTCCCAAAATCGAAAAACGTAGCTTATAGTCTACTGTATCTCCTGCCCATATCTTTCTTAACTGCTGCTGATATCAGACATTCGGTGTTACACGTCGATTGGATGGACGACAGGAACACACTATCATATTATAAGGGTTACTTCTGCTCAAAGACGGTCACCTTCAGCTCTTCATTGTACGACAGATGCCCTTTTTTATTTTCAAAATTCTTTGAACGCGTTAGCAGGCGTGCTGCATTTCACCTCGATAGTGACAGTTTTCGTTATGAACTCACATCCAGCTTCTAGAAGTGAAGGTCATATGATGTGGAGCTAGACGTGAAGTAGGTAGTCGCTACTGGGATGTTACAGCTGCAGTCTGAAGTACTGTCATTCCCTTAAATCGGTGCGTATCCAGATCCCAGTGTGCGGGATTTCGTTAGCAAACTACGAGGATAGAGAAATTAGCGGATGCAGACTAATTAATTTGGTGCAGACTTTGCACAGGGGGCAGGTTTACACATTTGCAGCGGTACCCTGTCCGCTGTAACTAATGGACGCTGTCGGAGAAACAGCCGGTAGTTCTGACATAAGCTACACTCTCTCCCAAAAAGAGTCTGGAGCCCATCAGGCGGATAGAGACTGAATTATTGACTGTTTTTTGTTGTCTAATGGAAAGGGTATTTGGTTTTAACAACCCGTTGCTTTAAGAGGCCGGGACAGGAGCTGCAATTGGACTTTCCCATGAGCAGTCCAAATTTGTGTTCACAAGGTTGCGCAAGGCACCACTAAAACCTGCCGACAAGGTCTGCTAATCGTACCGAACATTGGACGATCCTATTTACCAGATGCGCATCACCTTATCACATTACTCTTTCTGGAAAAAGCTGTTATTGGATAGTAGAATTGATTTTTCGAAGACACTTCACTTTTTACGGCTTTTCGCAACTCTTCAAAATCTTTTCCATGTCGGACTGCATATTTAACGTTCGGACAGTCGAATGTGCGGCAATCTTTGCGAAAATGGCTCCTTATCGGGGTCTCTTTGACGCTGAGTAGCCATTCCAAGGTATTCTGCGTAAGTTCAGTTTATATAAGATAGATTTCTTAAGACGTTCTGCATCCAATACTCATAGATCCCTTTCTGAAGATGCAATAGGCACTTCAGTAGCAATTAGGCAATATAATCTCGTCTGTAAGGTAAACTGCTGTATTCTAACAAAAGTACAATGATGCAACTGATGCATTAAACACTTAAGATGAATAAATCTGGATGACCATCCAGCTGCTTGGCTTGGAGTGATTTGAAAGAACTCAACGCCATTGGAGAACTCAATGTCAGCTCAATTTCTGGAAAATTTCTCGAAGACAATATCGTTGGATCGCTATCGCACGTAATCGTATTGGAAGTCCTTGAAGCCTGATATTATCAAAATCGGAGTATATGAAATAAACTAAAAGAACTTAAGTTTGTCTTGCAAATTAGTATCAGTAGAACAACAAAGTCGACTGACACAAGGAAACGCAGAGGTAAATGTAACATGCAAGATCTACCCAACATTTCCCCCTAACTGATTGAAAAGATGCCCTTTATGCAAACCTAGGGCTACAAAAAATTCAAACTAAGCTGGTTTGTTCATATTGCAAATTTAAGTGGGTGTATATCAAGCGACTATCGATTCCTGAGACTGAACCGGTGGTAGTGAACCTAATTTAAATACACAGACGAAAGGTCAGTGCATCTTAAGCAACTGTCTCTGGAGACTCTCATGGTTGTAAGAAACACTTTTTGCCAATTTGAAACTACAATCATGCTAGCGTTAATTTGGCACATGAGAGTTCGGCCGTCGTGACCGACGATGTCTACCCTGCGTTTCGCAGCAGAGTGAGAGCAGGGACCGTGACTCGCAGGAGGTTTCCTTTTATAGTGATATTAGCCTTACATTTCATCTAACCGCACACACACGCACACGCACAGCCCGGGGAGCGGCACGCGAACTTTTGTGTAACTGCATAAATCTTCCATCTGACATGCACAACGAACGGTGTTTTTAATCTTGCACTGTTATTACCCCCATTAAAGCTTTGGGGAACGTATTGCAGAGGTGTCTTCCTTATAGCCACACCAGACAAAATGAGCGGTTCGGAAAGTTCTTGTTACAAGGCAGAAGGAAAGGGGGAGTGGGCTAATTGCAAGCCTTGCTCCAGAGGCGTAAATATGTTTTTGTGTGATTTGGACGGTCTTCGTCTGAAAGGGTTAGGGAAAATTCTCTCGAATCTAGTCCATGTTATATGTTCCTCTGTGTTTCGGCAGGTCGGCCTACTTCAGCGTTCCTGTGGGGCACAGCAGAGCTGATTTAGAAGCTGGAAAGAGACTCCGAGCTTTTTTAACTCATCCACGTACTCGTTTGCAGCAAATTTCTCGTCAGAATTATAACAAACCTCAACGACTGTTCATACACACATGTGTCACGATGATGTGACTGAAGTGGCTTTATGCAGTTCTTTGGCATATTCTCTCCGAACCTTCGTCGAATATACGTTTTCCATCGAGGAGAGCTTTGTCCCTAACGAAGTTATGGTTTAATTTTATGAAAGAGAAGGGCTTAAAAATACTCTACAGCCTGATCTTGGCTGATGAAGAAACGGGAAAGTTAATTTCTTTTTAAAGCGCATCTCATCCCCTGTGCTCTGCGGTCCTCCTCCGCCATCCTAAATGTATCTGAGGGGAATATGACATTTGAAGAACCCATTCTCCCACAAAAGCGTAACTGTAATTTCGTGGGGACATATTTGCTCTATTATTTCCTGTTTGTCATTCATTTCTGCATTTCAAACTTCACACTGTGAGCCTGGGCACGCCTTAATGAAACCCATTGAGATTTTTTTAAGCATCAAACGAGATCGTAATCCGAAATTTAACCTACGTGGCGGGTTTTACGCGAGGTAACTTCATCGTTTGATGACTAGTATGATTTGTTCTTAGTGCATGTGTGCAGATTAGTTGAGTACCATCATCACACTAAAGTCCCACGTTAACGCCGGCAAATTTTAGAATACTTTACCCTTAAAATCGTGCAACAAAACTCCGAGCAAGAAGACTGGCCAAAAGGTTCGAATTTGTGTATCGCCTACCTCCTGCCGATGTGCGACACAGTTGAAAGAGGTTTTACACGCCACCGGCCACCTAGCGTCCCGTATAGGGTTCTTTGTTGCACTCAGATTCTCAAATGTACATTAGAAATTTTGGCTAGGGGTTTTGAAAGAATCAGAAACTAATTTACAGAAATAAGAGTCATTGGATTCTCGCAGGCGGTGAATGTTATACGGTCAAACAGTTCACCACATTCTGCATGTCTCTGTGAGTAAATTACCAGAACCATGCAATTATTTGCGGCAAGTAAAGTAGTAATCGAAGGGTCAGATGTTAAAAAACCCTGTTGAGATATAGATGTGAAACTAGTCTTACCTCAAGAGTAGCATGGAAAAATTTTGTGAAGTCCGGATGGTGATCATCGAGAGAAAACCGCCGAAGGGACGATATGGTAGCTGGCATATCCTGACTGATGGAGCAGTTGCTTCTGTAATCCAAGTTGGCGACGTGAATATCGGTTGGCAACGAATAAACAGAGAATTCAAAACCTTCGTGGTGCTCATCCGTATGAAGGACATGACTTTTGACGGTGTTCAGTCCAACAATTAAAATAATTTGTGTCGCGACAACTATCATCTGTAAAAACGAAATATACCTGAGCCAGAAAGAAACCCATGTCGACTGAAGTGTTTTTTTTATTTTGTTTATAAATTAACCAATGCTTGGGCCGAATATACTACGTGAGATACCGACAGTTTATTAATAACTTTTTTTCAGGTCCTTAAGCTAAAACAGTTAAAAAGTATATCAACATAGGCAAACTTGCCTGTCAGTGTCCTGCCAATCGGGAACCGTCACCAATTATTTGTATGTAAGCAATCTTTAATGAAGCACTTTTCTGTAAACAGACAACTTTTAGTACTCTTTACCGTGATAAAACTCTTTTAAAATACATCCAGCGATACTGGTCACAATCTACGCAAATTTATGCGCTTAAAAATGAATCGTGTTGGGAAGACCCACTGTTTTCGGCGGATTAAGGATTGGCACCGGCTTAAGAAATTACGTCTGACCTTAATGAGAAACTTCTAAACGATAATCCGTTGATCCTTCAATTTCAGGTGTGTGTGTGTGTGTGTGTGTAAAAGGTCAGTTTAAATAGGTTGAAGTGTTTGAATAATAAAATCAGCTAATTGAAACCGCATAGGACACTACTATTGATATCAGAATTGCGAGTTATATATTGCATATAGTCCGAGGTAAATGTATCAAAGCATGCTCGCGTTATCTTGCCTTAGAGATCGCATTGGAATAGGCTGAGGCCGAACTGCTTTGTCCTAATTAACATAGAATATTGACAGTGATTCACAATATTAGTCAGAATGCTGCATAAATTTATAAAGCATACAAATTATGCTTCTATTCTAACGAACAGGCCAACAGAGCGCTGATGATTAATGGCTATTTGTAAACCATATATATGCATTTTGTCAAACGTTTGTGAAGAAATCCTGGCGATAAGAGCTCATCGCTTAGAATCTGTAAATGCCGGCTTTTTTCAAAAAAATGTGGCTGTGTTCTAAGATATAAAAAGATTTTAAATCGAAAATAGGGACAATCAGGTCGGACGTTTGCTCTTGCACTTTGCTTCCCGTACCTTATCTGCTACGTTAAGAATATCGGCCATTGGCTCAAAACATCATAAAACTAACAAGTATAATATATTATCGAAAGTAACACCAAAAGAACCGCGAATTTGAATACCCGACCATCATATCTAGCTTTAAACGAGTTTATCTTTTCAGTGGTCAAATGACAAAATCAAACAAAAAATCTACTCTGCTCTGTAGAAGTATCCTGTCGGAAGAATGAAGGTCATATGACTCCATTTTAATCCGACACTTATCTGACATTTATTCACTGTGCAACAGTAAACACCGATGTCATTTTGCTCGATGAAGTTCATTCTATGTGTCGCCTTAAAGTCACTTTATCAAGGCACCCAGAAGCCTCAGTAAAATGTGAAGTTTCGATGAAAATTTGTCTCAGGATTAGTGCACGTGAAGCTTTGTCAAATACGAACAGTCAGTTGAGGACGTCATGTTGTTATTAATAAACATCTCCTAAATTATGAATTGGCGGACCTTATATATGCGGAAATGTATGCTGATCAAATCGCGCAAAACACGTGAGGTTGAAAATGGCTATAATTTCGTTCGTATATCCTAGACTAACCTTAGTACATTTGAATGTTGCGCATTACTGTGAGAACAGAATATGTTCATTGCCATTTCAGTGAGTGCAGATGAAACTGTGTCAAGAAATTTACCTCCACTTTTAAACCCGTACAAGTGTGCGCGAGAACGCGCTTAAATTAAGAAAAACGTTATTACAATGCCAAATAAAAACATCCAATTCACAGTTGTTTACCACTTCCAACTTCAACTGATAACGTTAATTTTGCTGCAATGCGTCAAAATCACAAATGCTATCTGTCGTTTGACCACCGGTTAGGCAATAATCACGAAGCTTATGACATAACCATTTCCATAGATTTCACTTTATCTTCAAAAATACACGAATTTCAACGCACACTTCTTCTGATTGTTGACTTTTACCGTCCATGTGCTTAAATGTGGGTCTATTTTCAGATAAAAATGGACTGCGGTCAAAGGTAAATAAATAATTTTAGCTGATAGAATTGAAGAAAAGCAGGCGGTTTTCGGTGTTTTTGTTCAGGTTGCGTAGGAAAACAGTTCTACGCTTTGGATTTTGATAAAAATTAAAGCAAAATCGGTTAGAAGACGGGGGAGAGAAACGCATATTTAAGAAAGCAATTAATGGCGCGTCCTATCGCTATAACGACATGACTGGCTCCATGGGTCTTGAGACCGATATGATGGTCCCGCTGGGAGTTGGGAAAGAGCCCAGAGGCTAAATCGTCTAATTTGGCCTCATTACAAAACATTTATTAAGTTTCTCGGCGGGACCACTGACGCTATTGACTGCGAAATCGTGACTACTTTCGTGGACACGGAAAATACCATTAGTAAAATTTATACTCTATTTGACGTGTGCGATGCCTCCATATAGCCCATTTCATAAATTTAGGTATGCACCTCTGTAAAATATGAGTGCTTCAGTAGCCCAAATCTCTTTCACAATTTGAAGAAACAGATATTGGTTTATATGAATAATTAAGTCATATGACTTGAGTCACACAAATGAATTATAAGGATCCTAATACACACGTAAAACAAAATTTGTGAGTAAATATCGATACTTGAGAAATATAATCTTTTACTTCATTTGTACAGGATCTAACTTATTCATCAACAAGTACCAATTAAGCTTAAGTTGACATAAGTTTAACTTTTACATGCAAGCACAAATATGCAGGCTCTGACATTCGAAGGATGCTTTTCAAAAAACTAAAGTCTCCTTCAACTAAATGCGTTTCTAGTGTGTTTTTTATTTACAGGGACCAGCCATGGACGATGGAAGTTGCGGCATTCGGAATCATTCCGTTGAATTGATAGGCACACAAAACACCTTTAAACTATTATAGTAAACTATATTAGTTTCAGACGATTCCACCTTTTAATTAAAATGCGGAATGGTATGAAACGTTTGTGGATTTCAGTGCGTTATTCTTAAGAGTGGTAAAATAACGCCTCGCGAGAAGGCGCTGTGCCAAAACCGACGTCAAGGAGGCGTCCCAATGCGCAATTTTTTGCAGTGGTTGGGTTAGAGTGTGCTGAGTTGTACGAACCTCTGCAGTCCCGCCCACAGCCCCAGGTAGCTCCCTCAGAGGCAACTCGGCCCGCAAGATCTGATGGGGCTCGGCGGGCTGACACCAGCAGGGTGGGAAGGAGCTAAAAAATCCCATGGGATATTAATTAATATCCCAATATGTTAAGATATTTAAAATTATATCCTAATTCGGATTCACTTAAAAAGTATAGGTAGCTAGGGTAAGCAGCAAAAAACTTTATTTGTTATAAACTGTAAGAAGGAATTGCGGAAATGGGAAGTATATCGATTTGTCAGTCGCGTGCTACAATACTCTACAGTACTGTAATGCGTACGTAATACGCATTTCTGTATTACTACGTATGTCAGATGCAGGCAGTTCTCAATTTGCGTAAGCCCCCAATGTCGTTATTACTCTCGACGAAAAACATCAAACTTGTCTTTCAAAATGCTTCTCTCCATGCCCATGACTAACTTGCACGTGCATCACGACTTTTAGACTTTCGCGTCTATAAAATAAACGCTGAGATAATAATCGGACCAGCAGTCTTACGGACAAAAATCAAAATAATTAGTCGGTTCGGTTACCGAATTCATGTTCAAAGGCTTTAAGCTGGCAATCGGTTCTGATTGGTCTTTGTCAGTTGGATCCCAAGATAAACCAGATAGGATGAAACAGTTCAAAAGTGTAACATGCTCAAGGTCGATGTGTAAATGATTTAAAGAAAACTGGAGGATGGAGAACACTGCCACGCAGAATGATGTAATTCAGTTTGTATCTGGTCAAGTAATATTTGACTTCACAGTTATGCACCTGGCGTTGCAATGTTAAGCTTGCGTCAGTATGTTCAAAACTTAAAATTAAATGATTTATGGTTCCGGAACCTAATGCAGCTGGATGACTAAAAAGGCTGCATTTGAAAGCAAAAGCACGTTCTAAGAAGTTCCAGATAGGGCAACGTAAACATTGGGTGGCAGACAGAGGAAACGTATTTCAGACGCAGATGTAGCTCTAAATAACGTTGCTATTATCCACTAAATTCCCTTAAGCTGGTGATTGTTTGCTGATCACCGTTGACGAATTCTAACGCGGATTACTGCCGTATGTTTAATGCACAGGAGATCGCTGGTTGGTCCGGTGTTTTATTCGTAGGCGATTTAAATGCATAAGACATGCGATGGAGAGTTATGCAAGCGATGTGCTCGAAGTTTGTCTCTGATCATGGTCTCTTAAATACAAAAATTAAAGTACTGCGAACGATGACGCGCAGACGGTCATAGGCCAGCTTATGGATCTCGTATTGACTGAATATTCCGACAGTGTACACAAGGTAGATTAAATGTCTCCGCCCGATCGAAACAATCAAGCAGTGCTTATTATACAGTTCAACCCAGTATACTTTAGGCAAAACGTCCTTCGCCTTACACTCCCTATTCGTCTCATAAAAATTGGAAGAATTTTTAACAGTTCACAGAAACTACAGTGTTTAGTGGAATCATATATAGTCTAACATAAGTTAAACTGTTTTAAATGTTGCACGGTTTCGTAATGCGTTTGTTGCTGCGGTATACGTCTGTATGACGATGTCTAAATAACTCCATAATCTGAGCCATAGCAATCACATCCGGGAGGCAATTATATGATTCATATACACGGTTTGTGAAAGAATAAGTCCTTACATTGAATCTTCCTAGGGTGACACGTAGTTTAAAGGGATGACCTAGGAGCATGGTCGAAGTGATGTGTTGGAGGAAGTCACCATGCTGGGGTGTAGAGTCCAAGCCATGCATGATGAGGATACTTTGTGGCAAGTGCCCTCGTAATTGCCTTAGAGGATGGCAATTTGAGTTACCTGGACGAGTCGCCTATAGAATTTCTACCCGAGCCCTTACTAGTTTTGTGGCTTGTCTCTGCACTCATTCTAGTCGGTTACAATTTCGTTGCGTCAAAGGTCATCGTCCTTAGATCGCATATTCATGATGAGACCTAAATAACACGCAGGAAATTTTAAAGAAGTAATTTCTATCGAAAGCTGCGAACGTTCACTTAATGGCGTACGAAATTATAGTTGTGACCCTAGTCGCCTCACAACAGTGTATAAAATGCAATAGATTTTTCGCCTTCCAAACGCCGATTTCCTGTTGTGTTTCGGCTTTTCGGGTTGGTACTTCGACTAGATTGCGGATGCGTGTACCCGGGACCTGGTTTTGATTTTGAAAACGCAGCATGACGCGTTTGTCGCAGTTAAACGCGAAGAAACATCTGCGTTGCAATTCTAATAATCTTTAATGTTGGTCTCGGAAGTTCGCTCCATTGGCTGCACAACTGAATAGTATCCGTAAAAATTGCACACTCACACTTCAATACTTTAATGCACTCATCAATAAATAAAAGATAAAGGTTCGTTCCCAGCATTGAACCTTGTCTAACTTCACTCTCTATAGTCCTGCGCCCAGGTTGTTTTTGTTGTTACTGTAGGACATAGGCCATTTAGGGACGAACGTCGAGGAAGTTTACCTATGGTACCCATTCCTCTTGACTTGCACAATAGACGCTGGTGCGGAAAACTTCGATAGCCTTTCTGAAATCGGTGCAGGAACACTCACATTGCGCTCTTCGTCGAGTACTCTCTCCAATAGCTAATTACACACTGGACAAGATAGTCATTTAATGATCTGTTGTTATCTTCTCCACTGCACTGAGGCAGACTAATGTCAGGCTATAGTTGGATGCAAGTGCATGTCCATCACCTTCGTGAATCCGTATAGTGCGTGCTTTTTCCTTACCGTGTGGAGAATTCCAATATCGAACGATTTCTGGCACAAAGTGGATATCAACTTAGCCCGTACTTCGGTAAGTTTAAGGGCAGCCTCACTGGCATTTTGTCCGAACCATGGCTGAGAAGTCCGTATAATTTTAACAGCCGATCTCCTGTAACTGGAACAGCACGTATCAGTAGGACTGTTTTGCTTTTTTCGACATGAAATCTCAGGCACCCCTTCGTCGAAATGTGAAGGAAACTAAACTTCATTTGAAATCCATTGTACATATGAAAAAACTGACGTAGGAGCGCTCGATAATTCTCACAATTTTATATCTCGTAACAAACAATTTTTTCTGTTCTTGGTGCTCTTCTTGAAGGAAATTTGCCAACAGTGTGAAAAGCTCATGCCTCTCATTGACCTGATCGCCAGTGAGACTGAAGACAAGCACAAACGACGTTTCAACTTTATTTTAAAAACGTACCTAAGAGTAGGCAGCCAAATGACGTCGCTTTCTACTTTCGTTATTAATGCGGCTTCAACTTGAGGGTCGCTGAAGCTTAAAGACTTTCCTCTAGGAGCAAACATCCACCAATTCTTGTTAAACTATTTTCGTCGATAGAAGTGAACTTTATTTTCCCCCATTTTGAGCGCTCAGCTCAATATCTCAGAGGCAATAAACTTTTTATTAGTCGAGATCAAACTCCACTGCAACGAAGAGTTTCTCCCCCATTAACAAACGTAAAGCCACCCCAGAATTCTACTCATCTGCCTTTTGCCTCTAAAGCGGATTCTCAATCGGGCGTCAAAAAAATCTCCCCTATCTAAAGCGGCCCCGGTTCCAACTAGTTCAGTTCAGTTCGGTTCGGTTTATTGAGGGAAATAGGCGTAGGCCTTTGAGTACCCTATTTGCAACGTAAAAAATGTGCGGTGTACAGATTGATATTCTGGGCGGAAATAGTTCGAACATGCCCATAATGGTGGGACAAAATGAGAAGGAGTTACAGGGGGTGAGCTCGACTTCTCATCGCTCTTGGCCATTCCGGAACATAAATATGTCCAGATTCTTCTTAAAACTTTGTATAGATGGTGACATCACAACATCTGCGGGAAGCTCATTCCATGGTTTGACCACCCGAACCGCGAAGGAGAACTTCCGCACATCCAGCCGTGCCTGCTGAGTGCGCAGTTTTAACGGGTGACCTCGGAGATTGGTCATGGTAGCAAATTCAAAAAAAGTCCTCGAAGGCCAGACTGCAAACCAACCCCTTTACAATGCGGAAGGCTTGCAAGAGATCTCCGCGAAGTTGCCTGTAACTCAAAGGAAAGAGGTTCAGATTTACTAGGCGAGTTGCATAAGGAAAGGAGCTTTGACCACTAACAATCTTAGTGGCTCTCCTCTGGACTCTTTCGAGGCAGTTTTGATCCTCAACAGCCCACGGCCTCCAAGCTTGTATGCCGTACTCTAAATGCGGTCGGACGAATGTTCCGAATGTCTTAGAGAAAGCCTCTTCGTCAAAGTCCATAAACGCACGCTTGATGGCGTACAGTACGGACATTGCGGTTTTTGCCACCCTCGAACAGTGGGCGGATGATTTTAGGGAATTCGTCGTAAGCACACCGAGGTTCCTTTGGGATTCGACCTCTTGTAGGGCTGCACCGCCCAGAAAGTAGCCTCTTGTGCTGGTTGATCTGGCTGTGTTGCCTAGACGAAGTATGCTACATTTGGCAACGTTGAACCGCGGGAGCCAACGGTTTGACCACTCCTCCAACCGATTCAGGTTCATCTGCAGTCTGTCTTCATCGGCAGGACCCCGAATTACACTCTATATCTTCATGTCATCCGCAAACATTGCTACTTCACAGTCTAAATCTCTTGCGGCATCGTCCACGTAGATAAGGAACAAAATGGGTCCCAGTACTGAACCCTTGGGGACACCACTATAGACCATAGTCGGATCTGATTTTACCCGACCGATGCACACAACCTGGTGTCGACCCACAAGGAAGTTTTCGATCCATTTAAGGAAGTTGCCACCGATCCCTATTTTCTTCAGCTTATGTAAAAGCCTTTGGTGTGGCACAGTGTCGAACGCCTTCTGGAAGTCGATGAAGGCTATGTGGACCGCGTGCCTGTCGTCGAGAGCTCGGGTCCAGCTCTGGAGAGATTGCAGCAAGTTTGTCGTGCAGGATCTTCCTTTCCGGAACCCATGTTGGCAGTTCGATAGCAGGCCGTGAACTTCCAGGAATTGCATCAGTTCACACTTTAATGATCCTTTCCATAACTTTGCAGAGAATGCATGTCAAGCTTATGGGCCTGTAATTTGTCGTCGCTGCCCTGTTACCTCCTTTGTGTAGCGGAGTAATATGCGCCAGCTTCCAATCGATAGGAAGTGTTCCGGTGTCAAATGACGTTTGGAAGAGCATCGACAAAGGCACAGAGAGCTCACTGGCAAGTTCATTCAGAAGTTTGGGTGGAATCTAGTCTGGTCCTGGCGACTTCGATTCGTTCAATGCCTCTAATTCTCTTCGGACAATGCCTTCTGAGAAGAGTATATCACTGACGCTTGGAGTCGGCAGTTCTTCTGTGGAGGGAGGAAGGAACCTTGCCTCGTTTGTGTAGACTGATTGGAAAAACCGTGAAAAATACGCAGCTTTATCCCTACTATCAGCGATCTCAACGCCATCAGTAGTCTTTATCAAGGGATTTGATGCCTGTTCCTTGTAGTTCGTCGGAGGTAGCTGTAGAGCAATTTTGGGTTCTGCGTTGCCTTTTGTAGCAAGTTCTTCTCGAATTCCCGCCGCGTCTGCATTATCAGCTTCCTCAGTTTGTT